TATTTGAAATTTCACTTTTTTATGCTCAAACAAACTTTTTTACATAAATATAATATAATATTTTATAAATATTATATAAAATTATTATTGTCATATTTATAATTATTATTATTATATTTATAATATAATTTAATTTTAATTATTTATAGTAATTATAAACTTTATAGTAATTTAAAATATTATAATATATAAAATTATTATTATCATATTTATAGTTATTATTATATTTAAAATTATTATTATTATATTTAGAATTATTATTATTATTATTATTATTATTATTATTATTATTATTATTATTATTATCATTATATTTATAATATAATTTAATAAAAAATATAAAAATAATTTGAACACAAAACCGTAGGATAACGGAGCTGCTTACGAAGCTGGTGGTCTGGAAGTCGGTCAACTAATTCTCGAGGTCGACGGTCACAAAGTAGACGGTAAACGAACTACTATTTATTTATTTATTTATCTCTAATTTATAATACATAACAAGAAAAAGAAACAACAAATATAATTCTTTTATAATGAAACACAGGATTACATCATCAAGAGGTAGCCAGATTAATAGCAGAATCATTCGCAAGACGTGACAGAAATGAAATCGAATTTTTGGTAGTAGAAGCTAAGAAGAGTAATCTCGAACCTAAACCAACGGCATTGATCTTCCTGGAAGCGTAGCAGGAGTCCCCCACCTCCGAGCCGGAACCACCGTAGTAAAAAAAAAACCATTTTTTACTTCGACGATATCGAAAAATCGGCCCGGAAAGAAGAGAATCCAATTGACAACAGAAGATCTCAACATACTGAATCTAATTTTGATTGAAATCTATTATCATCAAATACACCTGATTTATTCTCTAATTCGTGACCGAGATTTTCGATCGGTCGTTCCTCGACCTGGCCCTGGTGGTGGGAACCATTTCAATCCAAGACAAACAAACAAACAAACAAAATCAAAGATTACAAAGAAGAAAGAAAATAGAAAGAGAAATCTCTGTGATCAGCTGGG